TGTTGCCCAGGCTAGAGTATAGTGGCTTTTCACAGGTGCATTAACAGGGCATTGCAGTCTCCAACTCCTGGGCTCAAGTGATTCTCCTGCCTCAGTCTCTGAGGGAGCTGGGACTACAGGCACATGCCACTGCTTGTGGTTTTGTTTTATGTATAGGTCTTTATCTGCTTGTAGATAATAAGCTCTTTAATGATGCCATTCATGTTTGTTCCATCTTTTTGATTTATAGGAGCTAATAAAATGCAATTCTTTAAATAATATTACACAAAAGAAAGAGGTAGTTTAGACAAAAATCCTCATAGCCTTTTTAGCAATATTGACTCTATGAAAAAGCCAATTTGATGTACTCACAGAAGTTTACATAAGAAACCTTGAGAAAATATGTGTAATCATCTTTATACAAATAAAATAATCCAGCATTGTGTTCACAAAGATGCTTTCATTAGACACTAATTTTATGCTCTGAAGCATATTCATTTTGTTTAGATTTTCAAACTAAACATTAAAAAATTAGAAAAAATATAAGCAACCTAAAACAATTAACATAAACAATTAAAATGTTTAACATAAATAAATTGATTTTTCACTATTTTACCCAACTAGCAGGATGATAGTGAGTTAATAACTATTTTTGATTTTTAAGTTAAGCCTGGTTTTGTCTAAGTAATTCTCACTGGTATTCAGTGGAGTAAATAAATTTTTCACTCTCTTTTACATATTAAGAAATGAAGATTGACAGAAGAAACTTGCTTAGCTCAGAGAGATAATAAGTGGAAAAATACAGATTATGTTGGATCATTGTGGAACATATTCTGTAATTGGAAAACAAGAAAAGTATATACATTTTTATACAGATAATATTAAACTGTAAAAATTAAATGTCATAAAAGCAAATAACAAAAACTAAAGTGGGAAATATTTACAGTACCTATTACAAAAAGTTCATTTTTAATGTGTATAGGTTTCCAATATTCATAAGAGAAAAAGTCAACAAAAGAAAAATAAAGTATATAAGTAATTTGCAGAATATGTGTGCATGCATATGTATGTAGGCTACTGAGTTCATTTTATATATAGTATACATATTATATATAATCAAGCTTTGTAATATTTAAAATCAAGTAAATTAAACAATAAGAATATTTTATTTTAAAATCTAAGTTGAATTGGTCAGTAAGTTGAAGTAACCAAAAATATTCCTTTCTGACTTGAGTTAAAAGATTTTAAATAATTTATGTTGTTGATGAAGAAATAAATTCAATGTTTCTGAAAAAATAATTTTACACAATATCTAAGGTGGAATATTTAAATGTGATTTGAAACATTAATTTGCCTTCTATGAATAGGTAACAGGAAATAATCAGAATGCAGGTAAAGTATTAAGTACAAAGTTTCTCATTACAACATTATTTAGGTAATAGCAAAAAATTGACGAAAATTAGAACAATAACAACAGTATTATATTTTTTTCTGTAAATTATGGCATATCCACATTCTTAACTCTTTTAAAGTCAATGGAAGCACATTTAAGTTTCATTTTACCTAAAATAACAATTACGTTCATTCTTTTAACTGTGTCTACTTTAGAAGTTTAGTTACCCAACCATATTCTTGCTAGCAAAATACGTTGATTTTATTTAGTTAGACATCACTCTGCCTCTATGTGACTTACATATAGATGACCATATCCTGAGCTTATATGAAATTCGTGATTCGTTTGTCTTAGTGGAACCATGACCCTTATTGATCATGGGCTTAAAGGTAGGTATGTGACCCAATCTGGCAAAAGCAACAAAATTTAGCTTTCTGAAAGCAAAACCTATTTATTAGCGGGTTTCCATTTTCGAAGGAAGAAAAGAACCTAGGTTCTTAGTAGCTTTATAAGCTGCAAAACTGCTCATTATATTATGTTTGAAGTTGCGTTACTTTTAAATCTCCAGTATGTGAGAAAACAAATTTCTCAATATTTAATTGAGTTTGAGCTTGGATTTAATGTTTCAAATACTCAGTAAATTCCTTATAATAACTAATACGTAGACCAAAAAAAAAAAAAAAAAACAAACCAAAAAACCTTACCTGTAAACACTGCAAGAATGTCATCCACTCCCACAAGCAGAATCCTGAAGATTTTTTTCAGAAATAATAGAAATGAGAACAATGTGGTGAAGCACTTAACAGTGCAGTGGATGCAGAAAAAGAAACTGTTGGGGGAATAAATAAAGATCCTTAAAGGAATATCAAAAACAAATCCTCTTTTGAACAGAATAATTGCTTTAGAGGGGACTGTAGGGAAGATTGGAAAGGGAAGAATTAAACTATTATATTAGAGCTTTCACGCTGGATGCCGTTATTGATGTGAAAGCACATTTCAGAGCCGACATTCAGTTTATAGAGAAATTTTACTGAGTCTACAAGCTCCTATTTGTTTGCATTCTCCTTTAAAAGGTTCTTTGTGGTTTAGTTTGAAAGTCTTTCCCTCTCCCCCAACCCCACAGAAATTTTATATTTATTCATATCAAAAATCTGGGATCTTTTAAATTGCTATTAACATATTAGGCCTGGATTGGCCATGAAAATGTTTCAATTCAAGCCTAAACCAAAATGAGACTAGCCAGTGGCCTCAAATTCTCAGCAGAGATGTTTTTTCTTGCAATAAACAATAATGTGATGGGAAAAATTTCCTTGACATTTGCCTGTGTGGGCCAGAATTTCATATCCAGTTTATACATTTTGAGCATATAGACGTATTATTTTTGACATTTATGCAGTGATTTTTCAGATCTGCATGGGTCCAAGTCCCCCTATCCACTCCCATCTCACATCATTTGCCAAGCTGTCTTGAAAACCAGAACTCTCAATCTGCTTGTATTGGTAATGATCGCAGGACAGCTAGTTACTTCAAAGCTTATGTCTTTCACTGAGAGCAAATGATTTACTTCGTTTTCTTTCAAGCACAGTCTTCTATTTTAAAATATAAGATTCTGGAATATGTATCTAGAATTTTTTAGTTTAGTATCTATGTATTTAATTTAGATAACAGACTTATTTCAGGGTACCTAGTCTGCCATTTTGCTAGGAGAAAAATCTTTGTAGGGAGAATTGTCCCAATATAATTGCTTATAAAATATGAACAGGAAAACACCACATACAATGTGTTTGCATGCATGCATGTGTGTATAGTATGTCACTTAGGTAAAGTTACATATATATGTATGTAGGCATACATGCACATATGTGTCTGTATGAATGTGTCTGTGTATGTGTATGCATATGTATATGCCTATATGTATGCAAAATTGACATTGGATATATATTTCCAATAAATATAAGCATGTGTGTATGTGTGTATACACATAGCTATGTGTATATTTAAAAAATGTATTTTATCAATCTATAAAATATATTTTGCCATTGTGCTGAGATGTTTAGTGATTTTATATTCCTATTTCTTCTGTTAATCATCTTGAAAATATATAAAGCTAATGTTCATTAGTTTATACTACAATGTAGGTTATTTAAAAACAAAAAAGTAGATTTTTCTAATCTTTTCAAACTGCAATTTACCCTTCTGTCCTAAAAACTCAAATAATACTTTAGACTTTGATTTTTTTTTTTTTTTTTTTGAGTTAGGGTCATATTATGTTGCCCAGGCTAGAGTACAGTGGCTGTTCACAGGTGCATTAACAGGGCATTGCAGTCTCCAACTCCTGGGCTCAAGTGATTCTCCTGTCTCAGCCTCTGAGGGAGCTGGGACTACAGGCACATGCCACCGCTTGTGGTTTTGTTTTATGTATAGGTCTTTATCTGCTTGTAGATAATAAGCTCTTTAATTATGCCATTCATGTTTGTTCCATCTTTTTGATTTATAGGAGCTAATAAAATACAATTCTTTAAATAATATTACACAAAAGAAAGAGACAGTTTAGACAAAAATCCTCATAGCCATTTTAGCAATATTGACTCTATGGAAAAGCCAATTGGATGTACTCACAGAAGTTTACATAAGAAACCTTGAGAAAATATGTGTAATCATCTTTATAAAATAGCTCCACATTAATAATAGAAAATTTTAGAAAATATTATATCATTTTTAAATATTAAAACTTTTTTTGAGTTTTGTGTTTCTATCTTAAACTTAGAAATAATGATGATTTGCCTCTAATTAAAAAATAGGACTACTAAACAACTATTGAAAATAGTATATCATCTGTTTTGAGATTTACACCACTCATCTTAGTTCTTAAAAGCTGTGATCTGAACTGAAAATGCTCTGAGTCTTTGGTGTTATGTGTCATCTGTTTGTTGCTAGTCTTCAAATTATAGTCCTAAGTATCCTAGCTCTATCTAATTATACTTCAAGTACAAAAGGAGACTATTCAGTTCTCTAAGTTACAAAAAAGATTTCAAGAAATTTCTACCTAATAAAGTAACCATTACAAAGGCACAATATAAAAAGGAAAATTTTAAAGCAAAGGGACACCAACAAAGAAATATTGACATAATAACATATTGGATATTTGCTTTTTGAGTGTCAATTGCTGCTCAATGCAATTCTACCTAATTATGATTTTTAAGGTTACATCAAATGTTACAATCATGAAACCACTTCAGTTACTTATGTTTAACTTTTTTCCAAATGCTTTTCCATGCAGTCATTTATTATGATTATCATGTTAAAAATAACATTAACATCAATTTCAGTTGAATGCATACTTTACCTTAATCCTTATGTATATTCTTGAAGTAGTCTTTATTATTAGTGTTTTCCACATAACATTGAAACACAGTCATACACCTAATGTGACGGAACCAAGAATTGACCACAAGTCTATCTCCATACCTGTGCCAATTGTCATCAGAGGAAATTAATTTACTAGTAATTTTCCTGAAAATGTTTTACTTAACATGTTATGCCTTTTATGACTATTTCCTCAAAATTAAATGGCATTTTTTTTGGCAAACTATCTTGTAAGTTAGTCATTTGTTTTCTTCATTTTTTTTCATAAAAATTTAAAAAGCAACATTGTAGATCTTTCACTACCTGATTTCAATACTTACTATAGACACAGTCTGTTTTAGTTCATTGGTGTTGCTATAAAGAAATAACTGAGGCTGGGTAATTTATATTAAAAAAAATGTTTATTTGGCTCATGGTCCTGCAAGTTATACAATAATCATTATACAAGCAACTATTTCTGGTGAGGAGTTCAGGAAGTTTCCACTCATTATGGAAGAAGAAAGAGAGCAGGCCTTATATGGCAAGAGAGGAAGAAAGAGGGAGGGAAAGGAAGTGCCAGCCTCTTTATAACAATCAGTTCTCACAGAAATTGACAGAATGGAAACTCACTTGTTACCAGGAAGAAGAGAAAGGCACCAAGCCATTCTTGAAGGATCCAGCTTCAAACCCAAATACCTCCCACTAAGTCCCACCTGTAATATTAGCAATGAATTTTCACATAAGATTTAGAGGAGGCAAATATCCAAACTATATCACTGTCTGAAAACAAAACCAAACCAAACAAAAACAAAACCAATACAAAATACAACAATTCCAAGAGTTTGACGCCATCCTGGGCAAAATATTGAGACCCTGTCTAAAAAAAAAATGTGTAAAAATAATAAAAATAGAATAGACATATAAACTAAGTTGTATATAAAAAGTATAATAAATAAATCAGAAACAGACATACACAAATAAGTCAACTGTTTTATAAAAATGCAAAAAGACAATTCAGTGGAGAAATAATAGCATATTCAAAAATGGTGCTGAAATAATTAGACAGTCCTATGCAAAATGGCAGTACTACATAGACTTTACCATTTGCAGGAAATTAGCTCAAAATGGAACATAGATCTAAACATAAATAGTAAAACTGTAAACTTCTAGGACCTAACATAGAAGAATATTTATATACCTTGGGTGTGGTAATAAATTTGAATTACAACACCCAAAGCATAATTTGTGAAAAAAAAAGATAAGTTAGAATTCATTAAAATTATACTTGTGCTCAATGAAAAGCACTGTAAAGAGAATGAAAAAAGTCAGAAATGGGGAGAAAATATTTGCAAAATACATATTTGATAAAGAATTTTTATTCAAAATATACAAAAAAAACTCTTTAAACTCATCAATAAAACAACAAACTAACTTAAAAAATGGACTATCATCTGGCCAAATACCTCACCAAAGAAGCTTTACATATGGCAAATAAACATACAAAAGGATGCTCAAACTCTGTTGTCATGAGGGAAATGCATATTAAAACGTGAATGGGGTATCAGTACACAATTATTTCAATGACCAAAATCTTGCAAACTAGCAAGATTATGCCATAGATGATACGCCAAGATGCCATAGATATGCCAAGATGCCATAGCAAACTGACAAGAATAAAGAGGCACAGGGAATCCTCCTATGTGGTCCAGCCACTTTGGAAAATAATTTTTCGGTTTTTTATACAGCTGAATGTCATCTTACCATAAGATCCAGCAACTGTGCTCTTAAGTATTTAGCCAACTTTTAAAACCATACGTGCATACAAAATCATGCACATGACTATTTATAGATTTTATTTAAAATCTAACCCAAACTGAAAGCAAGTAGTATCTCCAATAAGTCTGTCAATCAGTGAATGCATGTACAAACACTGGTTCATTCGTACAATAGGGTACTATCCAAGGATAGAAAGGAATGTGCTGTCAATCCATACAAAGACAGAGGTGAATCCTAAGTGTATATATGTAGGTGACAGAAACTCTGAAAAGGCTGATACTATAATATGCCATTTATATGACATTCTGGAAAAGAAAAACTACAGAGACAGTAAGAAGTCAATGGCTACTAGAGTTTGAGAAGAGGGAGTTTGAATACATAAAACACAGGGAATGTCATAGCATTGTGCAACTATTTCTTGTGATGCTGCGATAGCAGAAAATGACACTATACATTTATTAACACCAATTGAAATTTATGACAAAATAGTGAATTACAATACAAACAGTAAAACCTAAGATATGAAGATTTTTTTTAAAAGTTAGGAAGTTGGAACTTCCCAGGGTGAAATGTAAAATGTGACAAAATAATTTAACTGTTTTACAAATTTAGCAAACAACTTCACTGAAGCGTGGTATGGGGAGATGTTAACCTGAGCAACTTTGATGAGTGGCATATGAAAAATTACAGGTGAAAGGAACTATTCAT